AAAAAAAAAAAAAAAAAAAAAGTGGCCAGTGAAACTCTAAGTTTATTACTAGTCATATCACCTGCCCAGTCTTTTGAAGAGAAAAATGTTCCATTTAGAATCCCTAATGTATGAATATGTTTGCCTTCCTCCATCTCCAGTGGATGAAGAATGGGAATCTGACACATAATTCATAAACTGGCCTTGTGAACTCAACTAGAAAAAAACTAAGTAAATCGGATTATGTCAGAAACATGAACTAAGAAATACCAATTACTCTTGGGGGATGAGCTAAAGGGTTATAGGTAGAGCTGGAGTTTTATGGTCATGTAACCAAACCAAAGGTAAGGTGAGCAGAAACTCAGATCAGAACAGACAAAGGCACTTGAAGAACAGCTTAGTCACACTGATGGTCCAGTACCAGTGAAATTCTGCCAACACCTGTTAATACCTCTAGTGTCGCCTTGCTTTGAAAAGCACCTTAAATTCCAAACTTCACAAATCCCAGTCTTATTATAGTTTCATTCTTGAATCCTTGTGATAGTCCACTGATTAATTTGGATGTTTGTCCCCTCCAAATCTCATGTTGAAATATAATCCCCAATGTCGGAGGTAGGGCCTGGTAGGAGGTGTTTGGGTAATGGGGGCAGATACCTCATGAATGGCTTGGTGCTGTCCCCCCAACAGTGAGTTATCTCAAGATCTGGTTGTTTCAGTGTGTGTGGTACCCACCTCCCCGATCTCTTGCTCCTGTTCTCACCATGTGAAACACCTGCTCCCCTTCCCTTCTGCCATGGTTGTAAGCTTCCTAAGACCCTCACCAGAAGCACGTACTGGAGCCTTGCTTGTACAGCCTGCAGAACTGTGAGCCAATTAAATCTCTTTTCTTTATAAATAACTCAGGTATTCCTTTACAGCAATGCAAATGGTCTAATACATCCACACATATAAATAAATGTCCCCTTATTTGAGCCAGCTTGAATGGGTCTCTTTGCTAAACAGCCTGAAAAAAATAGAAATCTTGAAAGATTTATTTTGCTCTGCAGTTGTAACAGTGAACTTTATTGTGCTTACGTAAGACTTGAAATTACCAAATATGATTTGAATATAAAGTCAGATTCTTAGTTGTTCTGGATAATATTCTACCTAAACTCCAACAAACATTTTGGAGAAATAATCATTTACCAAGTATTGTCCATCCATCCATCCGTCTATCCATCCATCCATCAATAAAATATTCCTTAATTCCCTAGAATACTTTTGATATTTCCCTAGTAAATGAAGTCCTATAAATAGAACACTAACAAGACAGTTTATCTACAATTAAGACAGGAAGAAATTCATGTACTGTAACAATTAGTGGTAGGATCTTTCCTAAACACATACACTAAATATAGGTGTCCATATAAATGGAAATGAAATGCACATGAGAAACTACAAAATTATAAATTTTCAACATAGTCAGTGTCTACTTATAGAATCTAAAATCCAAAGAGAAAATTGCATTGGAAAGGCTTTAAGAAATGATAAATATGATTAAAGGGCTAGAACATGAACCCTATAATGAAGAATTAAAATACTCTGAGTATTTTTCCTGGTGACTCAAATTTGGCTTTTAAGAATATAATAATTTGGCCAGGCACAGTGGCTCATGTCTGTGACTGCAACACTTTGGGAGGCCTAGGCAGGAGAACCACTTGAGCCTACGAGTTCAAGGTTCCAGTGAAATATGATCCTACCACTTCACTCCATCCAGGGCAACAGAGAAAGACTCTGTCTCTAAAAAAGAATATGATAATTATAGTTCTACTATTAAGAACTCTTTAGTTTCCATCTGTAAAATAGAGGCAATAGTAGTATGTTCTTCATAGGGTTGTTATGAGCATTAAATGAGTTAATATAAAGTGTTAAGAGCAGTTCCTAGCACATAAAGGAGCTCAGTAAGTATTAATTAGTTAATATTACTATTGCCCACTGTACTGCCACTGTAAGGCAAAAAATAATAATTAGAAAAAAACTGCCAGGCCAGGTACAATGACTCGCACCTGTAATCCCAGCACTTTTAGAGGTCCAGGTGGAAGGATCACTTAAGCCCAGGACTTTGAGACCAGCTTAGGCAACATAGAGAAAGAGATTCCATCTCTACAAAAAATTAAAAATAAGTCAGGCATGCTGACTATTGGGCACAGCCTGAGGTGTGCTCAGTAGAGGAGGACTGATTGAGCCCGGGAGTTCAAGACTGCAGTGAACTATGATCGTGTCACTGTATTCCGGCCTAGGTGACAAACTGAGACCCAGTCTAAAAAAAAAGGTACCAACTCCCCAATTGGGGTGTCCAATCATATCTAGACACCTGATTACTAGAATAAGGAACAGATAATAGAGAGAGACATATTCCTCCTGGTAGCCCTTTCATATCCTCCTAACATTAGGTGACCATAATCTAGGGATACGGGGAAAATCTATGAAAATCAAACACATTAATAAATAGACTAAAGCTGTTTTGAAAAGCATATATGGCCAGGCGAGGTGGCTCACGCCTGGATTCCCAGCACTTTGGGAGGGAAGGGGGGTGGATCATTTGAGGTCAGGAGTTTAAGACCAGCCTGGTCAATATGGTGAAACCCCGTCTCTACTAAAAATACAAAAATTAGCCGGGCATGGTGGTGCACACCTGTAGTCCCACATCTAGGGAGGCTGAGACAGAAGAATTGCTGAACCCAGTGGAGCAGAGGTTGCAGTCAACCATGATCTTGCTATTGCACTGGGCAAAAGAGCAAGACTCTATCTCGAAAAAAAAAAAAAGGAAAAGAAAAAGAAAAACATATGTGAACATTTTAACAAATGCAAAAAACCAAAAAGCACTTGAAAGCCCCAAACCCAGTTAGGATTAATGAGGGGGCGGAAGGGAACCTTGGAAAATTAGGAATAGAGGGGAACTCCCTTATCTTGAAAACAGACATTTTATCAAAGCCTATATAACAAATAACCTGCTTGAAAATGAGTTTAAAGTCTCAGATAGGGGCAAAGATGCCCATTAAATCACTCCTATTTATTTGCATTCATGTATTTTATAAAATATTTTAAAACACTGACCTGTATTGATGCTATATGTCAGTGGCCTTCTGTTAATCCCTTTGGAATAATATACATCCCGAAAACATTGTCAATCTGGATCAGTTTAGTTTAAAAAAACAAACACCCATTATAAAATTTAGAAAAATTGAGTTTTGGTCAAGGCTTTGTCTTTAAAATTACCATTGTGACTTTTGACAAGTGAATTCATTTTTCTGGGCATCCATTTTCTCCCTTATAAAATGAAATGGGGACAGTAACTGGGTATACTCTGGGGTCCTTTTCAATACTAACATCAGTCGTCCAAGATGAACTCTGAAGTTCTAAATGAGTATAGTAACAAATCAACTTGAAATTGCCACTAGACGGTGTCCTGCTCCAGGGCACTATGCATGCCTTAGACTGTAATCTACAAAGCCAAGGGTGTGTTTCTAGCATCTTACTGGTGCCTCAGTACCCCAACAGCTAAAGGATTACGGGACTCTGATTTAATTACCAACTCGTTCAGAACTGGCAGTAGTCTCGAATCTGTACCAAAGCTAGTCATTGGATAGAAAACTGAAAGAAGACAGGATGTATGGAAAATTTTACACAAACTGTCTATTAAGTGGAATCCTGACCGTGGAGGAGGGAAGGTGAGAATACAGAAAACCTAACCTAAAAGGGAAGGTTCATGGACAATGATAAGAGATTAAAGTCAATGATAACATCTAATCTAATAATCAGTATTAAATGACAGAGTCATCTCAGGAACATTTAAGTCACCCAAATTAATTACCTCTCTTATTCTTCTTGACAGAGAAAATAGCCCTAAAATATAAGGCTATAATCATGATTATGTAATATGTGCTTTAAATTCTTCTATTTTCTATTTTTTCTTGCTTGAAAGTTAAATATCATTTAAATAAAAATTGTATTTATTCAATAAACAGAATGACAAAATTAATGTAACTAATTTGTTGATTTTGACTAGCATTTTCTATTAGAATGAGTTGAGTACATTATCTTTTAATAAAGAAGATGCTCAAAGAATAATGAATAAGATGGCGGTTTCTCCAAAAAATAATCTTGGTATTAAAAATTAAGACTACTAGCAAACAACACTGTTTAGTAGTAGAAAGGCTAATGAATATACCTGAAAACTACCATAAAAAGTGTGCTTAATAAGGTATTTTGCTGAATTCTACTGAAAATGATTAAACAATGCTAAAAGATAATTTCAGTGCCATTCAAAACAGCTAAAAAGACTGAAGAGGATTCAAGTGACAGAGATATTTAAAACCCAATAATGGCAGCTGGTTTAAGATCAAAAGTTTTAATGCCATTTAGGACCTTTTATTCTTTGGGAGGGACTGAAATTTCACACATCATCAAAGTTTGTCGCCCAAGCAAAGCACAATTAATTAAATGGACACAATCCAACCTTTTATATGTTTACAATATAAAATTTTCCCATAATTTTACATAACTAGTTTTGAGACTCTGTAGGCTGCAACTTTATGAAAATTTACTTCAGCATTATAAAACACTTTTCAAAATCACTTCTACAAGATCTCAGGTTCTGCCACTTTATGTAAAAAGACTTTCCCGTGTATTGTATACCTGCAGGCATTCGTTCCTATAAGTCTGTTATTATTCTTTACTTTCTACCAATTCTATTAGATTATCATTATTTGTTACCTGATCATACTCCAAGGCTCCTGGGTAGAGCGGCCATCCAAGGAATAATTCTGCAATCACACATCCCAATGACCACATGTCTATGGCTTCACAAAATGGCAACCCCAATATAATCTCTGGAGCTCTGAAATTTAAAATTAAAACAAAAATCAGGGTAGTTTTTCTCTAAAATTACCTAATTTCATCCAACATTCTAGGAAAAATTAGTAAAATGACAGAGGCATCACATTCTATTTATAGGAATCCTTCACTATTTCAGAACTCTTTGAAACCTAGACATAATCCTGAATTAATCTGAAAGGGACACTATGAGTATGACATTTCTAGAATAAAGTCTCTCCACTGTAATCCTTTTCCCTTGCAGTTTTACTAACATAACATTTTTTGAAAAGGAAAAAACACAGATCTTGTTTTCAAGACTACAGCAGATCAGAAATGATACAGTAGGAAGAGAACTGGCAAACTATTAAATACATACACTATGACAGAACTGAAAACCAGACACTGAGAGATAAAACCAAAACAAAGCAAACCCCCAAAGGTTAAAAGTGAATTTAGACCTAGATACTACTTCAGAATATAGTAATAAATATTTACCTAATTAGAGCCATTCATCATCCAAGAGATTAAACTAAATTCAAAGTATTCTGTCTTAAAAGGCAAACAAGTATATAGGACATAACAAAATAGTTAAAAAGCATTAGAGGTTGGTCATTTGGGAAATAAACTCTGTGAAACGTATCATTTCTAGATGAATTATGTTGCTACTTCATATGGATTTCCCTTGAGAAGACTTATGTTCTAAGAGAGACCCATATACAGCTGTGTGATTTCAAAGAAGTCATATGTATCACAGTTATCCTAGATTTGTGTGTGCATGTGTGTTTAATTTTAAAACAATCTCAATCTTACACAGAAGTTGCAAGAACAGTACATATTTTTTTCCTAAACCATTGAGAATAATTTGCCAAATTTCTGCATACTTTATAGTTCCTACAAACAAGAATATTCTCCTCCATAACCACAATACAATAATCAAAATCAGAAAATGAACACTGATACACTCCCACCATCTAAGCTTCAGACTCCAATTAAGTTTGGCCAATTATACGAATATCATCCTTTTTGGCAAAAGTATCCAACTCAGGATCGTGCATTGCATTTAGTTGTCATATCTCTTTCATATGTCTTTTTCAATATGGAATAATTCCTAAGTTTTGTCTAGATTTCCATGACCTTTGCATAAGATATTACATCTGAAGAAATGTACCTCAGTGTGGGTTTATCTGATGCTTCCTCATAATTAGATCCAGAGGAATATCACAGAAGTGATCATGTTTTCTCATTGTATCTTATTAGATAGCATGCAATTTTGATATGTTCCATTCAGTACTAATAATTTTACTTTGATCACATGATGTCTGCTATATTTCTCCATTTCTTCCTTTTCTCTTTCTCCTTTTCTCTTTCTAATTAAGTATTTTGTGGGATCTCAATTTGAAAGTATATAAATAATCCATTTCTTATCACACTTTACCTTTTTTCATTTATTTAACTGTATGAGTACAGATTAAAGGATTTCTATTTTATTCAATGAGTTATAATCCATGACTATAATTACTTATTTTGATTCTCAAATTTTCCTAGATTTGGTGTGGTGGCTCACACCTGTAATTCCAGCACTTTGGGAGGCCAAGGTGGTAGGATTGCTTGAGCCCAAGAGTCTGAGACCAGCCCGGGCAACATAATGAGACCTCAGCTCTATAAAAACAAAAAAAAAATATTTTTTTAGTAGTAGAGACAGGGTTTTACCATGTTGGCCAGGCTGGTCTAGAACTCCGGACCTCAGATGATCCTCCTGCCTCAGCCTCACAAAGTGCTGGGATTACAGGCGTGAGCCACGGCACCAGGTCACAAAAACTTTTAATTAGCCAGGGTGGTGGTGCACACCTGTAGTCCCAGCTACTTGGGAGGTTGAAGTGGGAGGGTCACTTTGAGCCCAGGAGGTCCAAACTGCAGGGAGCCAAGATCATGCCACTGCACTGCAGCCTGGAGGACAGAGCCAAGCTCTATCTCAGAAGAAAAAAAAGAAAAAAATCCCAGATCTGACCAGTTAGAACTCCCTGAGACTTTTACGTTCTTCTGAAATGTCCTCATCATTCTCTGATTATTTCTTTACTTTCTGACACAGCAAGGTATTCCAGGCTCATCTTGTTCTTTCCCTGCTCCAGTCATAGAAGTAGCTATTTCTCTGAGGATCTGTGGTATCTTTTTGTGTAGAATAGTCCTTTGAAAGATCAGGGAGCTATGGATCCTCAGTACTGTTTGCATGGTTCCCAGACCTTCTCAATGCGTATAGGATCAAGAGTTAAGCAAAATCAACCTTCTGCCAATTTCTTAACTGAGACTGTGGGTTATCATCTCCTAAGGCAGTGGTTCTCAATCTTGGCTGCACATTACAATCATTTGGTCCTGGCCACACCATACACCAATTAAATCAGAAACCCTGGGGATTGTAGGAATCAAGAGTGGCTTCAACATATAGCCAAAGTTGAGAACCAAAGCCCTATACTCAAGAAGTTAGACCAATGGGAGAACCATCCCATTTCCTCCCTACAACTCTTCTGGCAAAGTAAATTCAGGATAATGAACAAGTTGTCTTCTACCATAGACTTGGGATCTGCCTAGTGAATATTCTACTCCTGGCCTCATCTCTGCTGTAATTAATACTTAAGATTCAGTAGAACCTTAACCAATCCACAGGCATTTGTTGAAAACAATTAAGAGCCATGGGGAGATGATATAAAAGATCTTCAAACATGGTTATAAAAGGTATTCATTCTTTTGACAAAATATTGAGGTATAAAAGATCTTCAAAACATGGTTATAAAAGGCATTCATTCTTTTGACAAAATATTCAAGTGTCTGTAGATGTATACACATTAATTATATTTAGATATGTAATCAAGTGCTAAAACATGTTGTAGAAAGATGAAAAGAAGTTGCACTAAGTTATTAATCCCATATATACACAATATTGTATTTACAAAGCTATCAAAGATGGAGACCTTATCCCTTTTTGTTCATTATTTGTATACCCAGAACCTTGTAAAGAATATGCATATAGTAAACATTTCTCAGATAAATCATTTCAACATAGATTGAGTCACACAAAGAAAAGCATCAGAGTGAAGTCTAGGTTTGGACTAGGCTTCAAGTACAGAAGTCTAGGCAGAAAGAAAGAGAACTGGGCACAAGAGTTTAAAAGGGTATATATTAATGTACACTAAAGAAGATTCAAAGCAAAAATGCAGTTTTGAAACTATGCTGTGGAAATGAGATTCACTACCAATGTTAATCATATACTAATCTGAATGCTAAACGAAAATTATTAAGACTAATACTAGGGCTATTGCTGTGTGTATGAAAGCTTTATGACTATTTTGAAATATTTAATATGAAAAATTATTCATAGGATTTGAAATTTTCGGTGTAGAAATTTTCACTATCACATTTGGCAATGAAAGAAAATAACAGAATAACAGCACCTAAGATATACCATTTAAAGAGACTGAAATAATTTTACTTCTGTTAACAGCAAGAAAAGAGTTTCTGTCAGACAAAGAGCAACAAATTCCTTCTGCCATGTGCTACCATTTAATGAAGAAGCAAAGTTTCTAACTGATGGTGACAGCAGTATATTTTATTATTATTATTTTTTTTTTTGAGACGGAGTTTTACCCTTGTTGCCCAGGCTGGAGTGCAATGGCATGATCTCGGCTCACTGCAACCTCCACTTCCCAGGTTCAAGCGATTCTCCTGCCTCAACCCACAGTAGCTGGGATTACAGGCATGCACCACCACACCCAGGTAATTTTTTGTATTTTCAGGTTGGTCTCAAACTCCCAACCTCAGGTGATCTGCCCTCCTCAGCCTCCCAAAGTGCTGGGATTATAGGCGTGAGCCACCATGCCTGGCTAGTATTTTCATTTTTAAAACAGGGTTTTGGCTGGGTGCAGTGGCTCACGCCTGTAATCCCAGCACTTTGGGAGGCCGAGGCATGTGGATCACAAGGACAGGGGTTTGAGACCAGCCTGGCCAATACAGTGAAACCCCGTCTCTACTAAAAATACAAAAGTTAGCCAGGCGTGGTGGCGGGTGCCTGTAGCCCCAGTTACTTGGGATGCTGAGACAGGAGAATTGCTTGAACCCGGGAGGTAGAGATTGTAATCAGCTGAGATGAGATAGCGCCATTGCACTCTAACCTGGGCAACATAGCAAGACTCTGTCTCAAAATAAATATATATATATATATATATATATATATATATATATACACACACACATAAAGGGTTTTACTGACCTTACATACTCAGAAGATTATCTAAAGGACTAAGTAAAAGAATGTATGTGAAATGTAAAGCAGTATATACATTCCTATAATCTATTCATACTCACTGTCCTACTTCACATTTCCTCTTTTCAAACCTCCACCTCCTCCCCATCCTCATTGTTGTCCTTGTATTCCACTTTACTGAAATAAATAGATGTAATTTGAAAGACAGCTTCCACACATTCTTACCAAATCTACTAGACCACTTGCAGCTGTCAGTGTAATGTTTCTATCTAAGATATCCATGCTCACTTACTGAAGTATATCACTCCAATTTCCCACTCTCATTACCAATACCTCTTTCTCTATAGGACAATTCTAGATCTCCATCTTGGAAAAACAAAGGAAAAGAAAAAAACTCTTGATTATACATGCTCCTTCAGCCATCACCCCTTTTTCTGTTCCCATTTTACACCAATTCTTCTTGAAAGCACTGTTGATACAAACTGCCTCCAATTCTACCCTCATCTTGAACTCATTTGAAAAGCCTTTCATTAACTTATTGTTCCATCCAAATAGCTTTCATCAAGGTCACTAAACCACTGCATTGTCACATCCTCAATCTACTTGACTTGCAGTATTTAACACAGATGATTATTAATCTACCTGCACTTGAATTCCAGGACACCAGAACTCTTCATTCTCCTCCTTATCTCACTAGTATACCCTTTTCAGATTGCTTCACTAGTTCCATTTCATTTTCCCAACGTTTAAACTTTGGGGTGCCTGAA